GGTGCTGCTGCCACCGCCACTGTAAACAGTTCTCCACTGTCCCTTGAATTGAGGAACTAACTGAAAATATTAGAGATGACATATCTGGTGGTGAAATTTGGGTCAAAGCCTCAAACCCTCATTGCTAGGAGAGCTAGTAAAACAAGAATCTAGTGTTTTTTGATTTTATAGACACTGGACTTAAAAGGCAAGGAACTGCCCCAAAGGGCAGAGACTCCGATAACTGCTAGTAAAAAAGAAAGTTCCTCAAATATACTAAATTATTCCATCTTTCAAAGTACTAAGGGCATATCTATATAAAATACCACATTCCAAATAAAAGCACAGTATCTTAGGGGGAAAAAAACCCCCTAATGTATTTGATCAGAATAACAAGTAGTACAAAAAGAATAGCAATTATTTGCATATATGGATGGTGATATTTAACCTTTCTCAGTAACTTAAATCTAAATAGTAACTGTCACCTAGTTAAATTAGTAGCAGTAGAAGTACAGGGATAAACAATTTTTTTTTGTTTTTATATTTTTATTGTTTGTTTTTTGAGAAAGACTTTTTTACTTTTTATTTTTGTTTACAGTTTGCATTTGATACTTTTTTTCCTTTTTTTAAGTGTTTAAATCATGTTTATTCTATTACAGTTGTCTCAATTTTTGGGATAAACAATTCTGTACTAAAATAGTATAGCTAGATTTAGTAAAAAAAAAAACTCTAGAAGCCCTCTCACAATTCCTAATTTTAAAAGATCTGCATGTCAGACACTGGGGATACATACAGAAGCTTAGAGTCTAATAAGAGAAAACAGACAGATATAAAAACAAATGGATATAATAAAATATTATGGATGCTAAACACTACCATGAGGTATTCAAAGTAAAGATGCCAGGGTAGGGGTGGGGTGCAATGACAAATTCAGGAAAGGCTTTGTTGAAGAGGTGTTCTGAAGCATCTGGAATGATAAAATAAATAGCACAGGAAAAAAGGCAAGGAGAGGAAGAACAAATAAAATTAAAATACCATCCTAATAGGAGATAGTCCTAATTTCGTTTATGACTCCAAACAGTTTTAAACAGGTGAAAATAAAAGTTTATATGAATGCATATCAAAAACAAAAAGATGCCAGTCAAGTTGGATCACTGGGATTTATTTTCCTAAAAGCAAATGCAAATATGGATACTGTAGATTGCAAAAAAAAAAAAAAAAAAAAAAGTCACAAATTCTTCTCCTCCCTGAATCCACCCATTTGCAATTCTCTCATCAAGACATGGAATTCTGTGCTGATGGGCATGGCTCAGCTGGTTGAGCATTTTCCTACAAAGGGAAAGGTCCCAGGTTTGATTCCTGGTGAGGGCCTATGCCTGGGCTGGGGCCCTGTACCCGGTTCTGGTGCGTGGAGAGAGGCAACAGATCAATGCTTCTCTCATGCATTAATATCTCTCTCCCTCTCTTTCTCCCTCCCTTTTCCTCTCTCTAAAAATAAATAACAATCTTGTTTAAAATTTAATCTTTACTGAATTTTTTTTCCATTACCATTTAAGTCTTCTGATATCACCCCCTACCCCCTAGCAATAAAAAATAAAAATCTTTAAAAAGAGAGAGAGGGAATTCTACTTTTTTACCACTTGAACCCGTGTTAGCTTTGTGACTTGCTTTGGACAGTACAAAGTGGAGGAAGCAAAGTAGTGCCAATTCTCTGACTGAGCTTCCAGAGGCCAGGCACACATCCTACACTTCCTCCTGGGGAGGGAGACTTCCCTTACAGAACATGCTAGAGAATGAACCACCACATGGGGAAGGTGGTCCAGTTGACATACCCAAGGTAAGCCAAGTCTGGCACAGATCACCAGACCCATGTAGCAGAACAGACTAAACTACCAACCCTCAGAATTTTTTAAAAAAAAGGTAAATAATTGTTTTAAGCTGCTAACTTAGATTGCTTTTTATACAGCAAAAGCTAACTGAGGTAATGAGTAATTTAGGTAATGGGTTTGGAAAATACATGGACAAATACGTTTCTAAAATAAAGGATGTAAAATCACCATTATGAAATTTCTAAAGTAGAGGAATGATAAGTAAAAATTTTCAGATTTCCTCAGCATTATATTTAATTTCCATAGCTCCAAGAATATTTTTTAAAAAATGGGTAAGAGAGAATCTAAAAGTGTAAATACTCAAATATTCATCAACAGTAGAACTGTTAAGTAACTTGTGGTATATTTTCACAATGGACCAATGTAGAGAAATGAGAGTGAGCAAACTACGACTATATGCAATTATGTTTATGACTTTCACATAATATGGCTCAAATGTATATATAAAAATTGAAAACAAGTATAACTAAGGTATGCTGTTAGGAGTCAGCATAGTGGTATAGGAGCTAGTAATGTTATGTTTCTGGATCTGGGTGCTAGTTACATGGGTGTATTCAAATTGTAAAAATGTATCAAGCTATAAGCTTATAGTGTTCTTTTGTATGTATAATAAAATGTTTTTTTATTTTTATTTATTGATTTTAAAGAGAGAGAGGGAGACAGAGAGGGAAGTAGGGTGAGGGAGAGGAAGAGAGAGAGGGAAAGAAAAAGAGAAACACTGATTTGTTGCTTTATTTATTTATGAATTCACTGGTTGCTGCTTGTATGTGTCCTGACTCGGGATCAAACCCACAACCTTCGCGTATCAGGACAACACTCTAACAAACTGCGCTACCCAGCCAGGGCCGAAATTTTTTTTTTTAAGTACATATTATTCTGCACAATTGATAATTATTACTTTTATTTATTTATTTACTTATATGTATTATTGTACTCCCAAAATGTTATTCAAAATTTGGACATACACCAAAATCAGAAGAGTAGTGTAAATATGTTGCTGTATTTTGACTGGCATCTCTAATGATCGTTCAGCTCAACACTTATTAGTCAAAATAAGAATCAGGAAAACAGGAACAAGCATAGTTTAAGTGCATGTGTATATGAGTCTCCTACCTATAGCCTTCACGGGTATCTTTCGCCCTCCTTGCTATTTTCTTGAAACAGTTAATTGATGTATGCAGGTTGGAGACTGGGTTTCCAGCAGCTCTTTTATATACAACCAAAAGTAGTTTCTCCTTAAAAATAAACAATCTAAAAATACAAAAATTCTAGCTAGAGTTCACAGGCAGATGGTAAGACACACCAAGGAGAGGAAAGAGGATAGTGATTGAAAAAACTGATTATAGGCATTCAGTCCTAGAGCAGGAATCTGGTGTTGGGGTGGGGTAGGGAGGCAGGTAGTTGCTCCATTAGGAAAATCCCAATGGCCAAATTCAAAGAACCACTACATTTGCACATTTCATTTAAGTATATTCATTCAATATTCTCACACACACACTCATACATATTCTGAGTTTTACTATTACTGTTCCAAAGGTTATCATTACTTCAATTTTTCTTCTTTATTCACTCAAACACTCATGTACTTTGGGGTGAAGAAACATGAGAGCACTGAGAAGATCTGCTTAAACCACCAATGTAGGTTTAAACACCTATATGTACAACATCTAATGATGTGGTGTATGACATCATGTTTTTCTAATGCTGCTTTCCTAAGGGGAAAAAAAAGCCAGTAATGTCACACCTGTAAAGTTTACATAGATTCCTATATTTCCTTTTGTGTTTTGGATTGGATAAGAATAGAAAACATCTCCATCTATTAAGTCCAGAACAGACACAAGACCCAAGACTTGAGAAAATGAACAGATATAGATATACCATGTTTTTAGATGGTAAGCCAGTATTATATAATGGTAATGCAATAGCTTATTACATTATAAGTCAATGTAATTCCAACCAATAGCTAAACTGGATTTTGGGAAGAATATAACAAAAGGTTTTTTAAAAAAATTTATTTATTGATTTGAGAGAGAATGAGAGAGACATCAATTTGTTGTTCCACTTATTTTACGCATTCATTGGTTGATTCTTGTTGTGCCCTGACCCACAACCTTGGTGTATCGGGATGACACTCCAATCAACTGACCTACCCAGCCCCAAACGAAACATTTTAAAGCTAATCTAGAAAGAGGAAACATGAGGACAACTTTGCCCAGTTACAACAGCCTAACTTCTACATGGCACATACTATGTTATTGTATGTAGCATCAAAAAAGCTTTACATACATTAATGCATTTAATCCTCACAATAACCCTATAATGTATATAATATCATAACACTAATTTTACAGACAACACTGAGGTCTATAGAATTTAAATAATTCACATTAAACTAAGTGATCTAACTGGTAAATGGTAGAGCTAGCATTCATCTAGTCTAACCCCCAAGTTAAAGCTCTTAACTTAGTTATATCATCCTGTGCCTCCTCCTAGACATCATAATATTTCATAGGCCCCCAAAGGATCATTAAAAGTATGATATGATGCCCTGGCCAGATGGCTCAGTTGGTTGGAGCATCATTCCATACACCAAAAAGTTGCAGATGCGGTTCCCGGTCAGGGCACACATGGAAGGCAACTGATCAGTATTTCTCACAGGGTCATTTCTCCCTTTCTCTCCCCAGCGCGTCTCCTCTCTCTAAAGTCAATGAACACATCCTCAGGTAAGGATATTTTTTTAAAGTATGATATGATGATGTAACAGATAATTGGATTGACAAGACCAGCAACAGATCCAAATATATATAACAATTTAGATTATGATAAAGATGGCATTTCAGATCAATGAAAAACTTTGAAGACTATTTACCAAATGATGAGAGGACAATGACTCTCCAACTGGATTTTTTTAAAAAATGAGGTTTCTACTCCACGTCAAAATAAATACCAAATGGTTTTTTAAAAAATAAATTTAAAACCAAAATATTTAGAGTAAAAAAAAATACAGGTTAATATTTTTATATCCTTGGGGTGAGGAAATTCTTTTTAAATTAGACATGAAATTCAGGAGTGACTTAAAAAATTGACAGAGTTCATTAAATACAAGCTTCTGTAAGACTAAAACGATAGCACCCGCTTCAGCAGCACACATACTAAAACTGGAATGACACAGAGAAGACTAGCATGGTCCTGGTAGGAGGATGACATGTAAACTCATAAGTGTTCCATATTCTGGCAAATGTAAAGTACAACATAGGGAATACAGTTAATAATATCACAATAACTTTGTATGGTGACAGATGGATACTGGACTTTTCATGGTGATCACTTTGTAAAGTATATAAATGTCAAGTCACTATATTGTACACCTGAAACTAATACTGTACATCAACTATAGTTTAATTAAAAAAATAGCTTGCTTTACAGTCCAGAATGAATAAAAAAGACTAAAAACACACATAAGTAACCTTAAAAAAAAAAAAGATGTGAATTCTTTCTGTCATGTATAGTGATCACAATTCTAGCAAGATTTTTTTGTAGATATAGATAAGCTAATTCTAAAATGTATATAGAAAGGCACTGCCCTAAGAATAACTAAAACAATCTTGACAAAGAAAAATAAAGTGGGAAGAATCACTCTACCTTATATTAAATCTTATTAAATAGCTACAATAATCAAGACAATGTAGTACTGGCAGAGAGATAGACATATGGATCAATGGAATAGAGCAGAAAACCCAGAAATAGGTATATATACACGTATGCTCAAGTGATTTTGACAAAAGTGCAAAGCCATTCAATGGAGGAAGGATGGCCCTTCCAACAAATGATGCTGGAGCAATTGGGACACCCATAGACACGCAAAAACTGAGCCTCAACCTAAACTTCACACCTTCTATAAAATTTCACTCAGAACTGACTGGCCTCTGAGGAAAAGAATCACTGGCTTACATGTAAAATATACATGCAACCATATATCTCACAAGGGACTGGATCTAGAATATATAAAGAACTCTAAAAACAAGAGTAAACAAATAATTAGAAAATGTGCAAAAGACATTCAGAGACATTTTTCTAAAGAAGGTACACAGATGACGAACAAGTACATAAAAAGACCTTTGACAATGTTAGTCATTAGGGAAATAAAATTAAAGCCACCATGAGATATCACTATACACCTATCAGAATGGCTAAAATAAAAAGTGGCAAGACTAAATACTGGCATGGATGCAAAGAAAATGGTTTCTCACACGTTGCTGGTTTATAAAGTGGTACAGCCACTCTGGAAAATTACTCGACAGTTTCTTAAAACACTCAACACAGAATTACCATATGACTCAGCAGTTGTACTCTTGGGTATTTATCCCAAAGAAATGAAAACCTATGTTTGCACAAAACCTGTATATGAATGTTCACCGCAATTTACTTTTATAATAGTCCAAAACTGGAAATAGTTCAAACGTGATTGGTGATTGGTTTAACAAACTGTGGCACATACACACCCATGCCATCGAAACTCAGCAATAAAAAGGAATGAATTATTGGGTTGGCCAAAAAGTTCATTTAGTTTTTTTCTCTATGATGGCTCTAGTAGTGCTTATATCTTTAACTTCATTTGAAACAATTTTGTTAGATTGTATTGTGACAGCTGTCATATCAGCATACATCAAAAAAAAAATCAGAATTGGTGAATTTTTGTGCAGCCATTTTAATATTGAAGATGGAAGAAAATAAGCAGTATTTTAGGTGTATTATGCTTTATTACTTAAAGAAAGGAGAAAGTAAAAATCCAACTGAAATGAAAAAAAAGATTTGTGCAGTGTATGGAGAAGGTGCTGTGACTGATCGAACACGTCAAAAGTAGTTTGCGAAGTTTCTTGGTACTATTGACGTTTTGGCCAAATCATTCTTCGTTGTGAGGCTGTCTCATGCATTGGAAGGTTTAGCAGCACCCCTGGCCTCTACCCACTAGATGCCAATAGCAGGAAATAGCTGACATACTCAAAATATCCAAATCAATAAAGTTTTTGGTGAAAATGAAAAATGTGTCTTTTATTGTATGGAAAAAGCCACATGGACTTTCTGACTGAAAAAAGCCAATTCCAAAAGGTTACTTATCATATGTAACATTACTGATATGGCAAAACCGTAGATTAGTGGTTGCCTGGGATTCATGGGGGAAGGGGTGTTGTATAGAGGGAGGCGGCTTTAGTATAAAAGGACAATAACAGGGACCACTGTGGTTATGGAACAGTTCAGAATCTTGAGAGTGGTAATGAATACACATGTGATAAGACTGTAGAGAACTACGCACATACACACGTATACATATACTTGCAAGAGCGTGCACACATACAAAACTGGGCAAAGCTGAATAAGATTAGTGGATTGTATCAATGTTACTATCCTGGTTGTGCTGTTATACTGTATTTTGCAAAATGTTACTTACCATTGGGGGAAACTGGGTAAAGTATACAAGGGATCTTTATATTTCTTACAACTGCATGTGACTCTATAATTATCTCAATAAAAATGTCGATTTAAAACAAAACAAAAATAAAAGACAAGAGAAAGACAGCAAAATAGCTGTGATAAATAGACAAAACCACACTAAAACTACAAAAAAGGATTTTCTGAAAAACGTAACCCACAGGAAGGGAAGAAGAAGAGACAACAGAAATATTTCACAATCTAGAAAGAAAAAGAAAGAATGGAACCAGACTAAGCAAACATAAGAATGCTGAATACTATACCTGCAATAGGGAAAACTTTCAACTATATATACCAATCAACACCACAGAATCACCCTCCACCCCGTGCCACAAGAGCTCAAGAACTGGTAACACCAGATAAACTCAAGGTGGAGAGACTGATGATTTAGTATTAAGTCTGATTGAAAAATGTCTAAGAAGCACTTATATCCTTAATTGCTTTACTCACTCAGGTGCCCCCTGGCCAACTCAAGAGACTAGAGATTTATTTTCTGGCAAGGGTCACATAGAGAATCTCTGGACTAGGAAGGCATAGGAAGGGGCATGAGGACAGTACCTAAAATAAGAGGATTAAATGTGGGCTTAAGTACACTGAATGCTAAAGGCCCAGACCTGAAGTCCCCCCACCTTTTTTTTTTTTTAAACTTGGCACAAAGAAAGATGGCAGTCAGTCCGTACCTTCCAGGAGAGTTAGAAGAGATTTTCTAAGGAATAAGGTAAACCCATGAGAAAAGACCTAAAGATACTGACATGTAGGGCTCTCCAAATTGACAACCATCTCACTGTAAAGTTCACCATACATACACCCTGCTGCTGCACTCAGAGCTTCCAAACAACCTTTCAGTGTCCCGTCTTAAAGATGTTTAAAACATGAGCAGATAACCAAGGACTCTCTCTAACATAAAAGATACAGATCCAAATCAGCACCTCATAAATGAGTTTTAACTATGGCTCATATCAGCAACAAAATGAGATTAGTATTCACCAAACTGCCTATCCATATGATTAACAAATATTTAATGGGCCAGATACTATTAAAGGTGCTTGGGAAATAAGGGTGAACAAGCCAAAACAAAACCTTTTCCCTTGTAGACCTTACATTCTAGTAGATAAAGCCAGACAATAAATGATAAACACAATAATTAAGCACACACTCAGTAAATCAAATTAGCACTTTGAAAAAAAATAATGGGGCCCTGGCTAGGTAGCTCAGTTGATTGGAGCATTGTACTGATGCATAAGGGTTACAGGTTCGATCCCTGGTCAGGGCACGTGCGGGAGTCAGCCAATGAGTGCATGGATGAGTGGAGCAATGGATTGATGGTTCTCTCTCTCCCCCCATTCCTCTCTAAAATCAACAACAACAACAACAATAATAATAATGGGACAGAGTAACTGAGTGGGGGAGTGAGTAGGGAAGCAGCTACAAATTCAAAACAGGGTGACATTTGAGTAATAACTTGGAGATGAGAGGGTTGATGATGCTGTCTGTAAAAAGAGAAGGTTAGAAGCTGGAATCTTCCCTCTATAATCCCTAAAGCAAGGGGAGTATGGCTGAGATGATCAAAGAACAGCAGAGGATTGAGAGGGGAAAAATAAAGTATGGCAGGGAGAAGTATAGATCATGTAGGAGGAACTTACAGATCATTGGCTTTTTCTCTGAATGAAATGAAATGGCCAATGGCGGGTTCTGAGGAAAGGAGTAATAGTGATTTGACAAGTTCTAAAAGAGTAACTATGGCTGGTGTGTTGAGACTGGGTAGAAGCAATAGATACCAGTAAGGAGTGATAAAAGTCTTGCAGAATTTTAGAACTGACGGGGGCCTTAGAAATAATTTTTTCAGAAATAAGGAAACTGAGGTTCAGGGAGTTAAGTGAGTTTTCCAAAGTCATGTATTTAAAGTCTGGAATAATCCACTTTGCATTTGTGTAGCCTTTTCAGTGCCTTCTGGCTTGGCATCTGAATCTTGTGTTCAACAATCCTCTTAGCAGTTCACAGGGTAGTGGTAGCTGACATTCATTTATAAGAGAGCTGGCTAAAATTAGGGACTAGGTCTAAAATATTCTCTCAAAACTCAATATATAGCTATTAACTGTCTATACAAGGCATGAGTCTACAGTCATGCCCATAATATCACAAAGTACTAACTAATTCAGACTTTCAAGTAACAGAAATGACTCAATTATACATGCTCTAACCTTATGGCTCAAAAGCAGAGCCAAGACTACCAAATGTTGACCATGTGTATTAGGTAGTGTGATGTCCATTACAAATTAGAAAAAAGTAATTCTGAGGCAAATGGAAAATGGCAATTTTGTTCCCCATGATACTGTGTACTCTAGTCTCTTCCTCTTCCTTCTTTTTCTAGCTCAGTCTCACCTTGCAAGGTCTTTTTCAGATTCGAAAGCACGTGGTAAACAACTAATTCCCATGGGGTAGTTGTTGATAATAGCACAAGTGGTTATCTCTCTCCAGGGGTATGTGTGCTTGAATAGAAAACTCAAAACCTTCAAATCCCAAAGGAACTGAAGTCAAGTTAGCAGGGAATGTTATCTTGAAGAACTCCTAGCATGTCTCAAGTCACACTAAATAAACTCAAACTCAGCAGCTGTTTATTGATGAACTACCATACTGTCAATCACAAAGACACAGTTCTTGCCCTTGAGACCCTCTGTCCAGATGAAGACAGCAACAAAATAACTATCTTTACTGAAAAACTGCTATCTATTTGGTACCGAGCT